TCTCACCTTTTTTTATTTATTTATAATATGCTTAGATGAAGCTCGTAAAATAAGGTGAAATTTGTATTTTCTGTATAGCGAGGGACCGACAAAATAATTAATTATTTTACAACAAAAGGAAAATATATGTTTTAGAATTCAAATTATCATTGGAGAGGAGTGAAGGAGTGAAATTTGAAAAATATACGATAATGAGGCATGGAAAATGTTAAAATATATAGCTCAATTATATATCTTTTCTTATGCATGTAATTATCTCACTTTTCTATTTGCGGTTTGTTTTTTTAATTTATTTAAAGTAGAGCATTAGTACTCCTTCAAACTAAAAGAAATAAATTATTGTCTACTTTTATATTGATGAGAGAGTGAGCATAACTTAATTAATTAAACTAAATATCATCGACTAAAAAGTTGTATGTTTGAATTCTCACTTCTATATGTTGTTCTAATTATTAAAAAAGAACAATAAAATTAAGCCGTAAAGTTTAAATTATATGAGATCCAATCATGAATAAATAGTGAAGTTAATATTAGAGCTAAATTATATTTTTCCAAAACTTTTCAATGTGTTAGATTGATACTTTTTTTTTTGTCGGTATAATAGCAGGGCGAGAATTCGAACTTAAAACCTTTTAATCGATAATATATAATTTGGAACTTTGTTCGAGTTGACATGTTAAATTAATATTATTTAGGTGGATTTTTCATCCACTACTAGATGTAGGAAATTGACAGTTACATTGACACCACAAATAATTGTGTCTATATTGGAAACTTTCTATTCGGAATAAAATTTAAATTTCTGGCTATAATATAGTTTTTTTTGTTTTGGTTCTTGACACGATTGAATAATTTTTTTTCCATCACTTTGATTCATTTTTGTTGGTCACTATTTTTCAAACGATCATTTTGGTTAATGTATTTTTAATTTGTTCAGTTTAGTCTATATACTTTCAAAAGGTGCATTTTGATTAACATATTTTTAAAATATCTATTTTAATTAACACATAATGAAAACCCTTTGATTTAAATTTATGGTTTAATGAATTAAGTGCCTTGCTAAAATTATGACAGAATAAATGAGATAAAAAATGAAAATGAACATAACAATATTGTCGTTGTACCAAAAAAACAATATTGTTAGTTTTTTAGAAACACATTAACCAAAATAGATATTTCGAAAATACAAATATTAAAATGAAATGGAACAAAATAATATTTAAACCTTAAAAATAAAAGTAGATTTATTACTATTATTTGCAGGGGTATGTCGTAATTACGTCTTAATTAATAGATATATTCTATTAATCTCATCGGATAGCTATTAACAGTTGGGATTGCTCTGTATTTTTGTCTGTGAACTTGCAAGTGTATTCCATTTTAATCTATAAGTTTTTTAAAAGGTATATTATAGTAAATAAACTTCAAAACAACAACGAAGACCACTTTTGTTATTTCTTTATATATATATATATATATATATATATATATATATAAATTCCCATCTTATCCAACTATTTGATGGGTGGAAAACGTGACTTCACAATGTATGTATTCAATAGATGACGTAAGTATTTATTGACGTATTGGTTAAAGCGAGTATTGAGTCGATGAATATTACAGAAAACATTTATCTTTTATATAATCAATGATACAAGATTTTAAAATTAGTATTTTTTTTAGTACAACATGTGTGAGGTGAGAATTCGAACTCTCAATCTCATAATTAGATACATGTGTCTTAAATTGTTGAGCCATGTTCTGATTAACAATTTTATAATTAACCTTTGACGTATGATGAGGTAACAAATGTATTAATAAATTAAAGCTATGTGTATATCAGTTAATTTTTTGTATAATATGAGACGAGATTAAAGTAACTTAATTTAGGATCTTTGATCCATCAGTTATATAAATATATGTTTTAAACTTTTCCTTGAGTTGCCCGTAATTATAAACCTACCAATCAAATACAGACCACACATTCAAGCTTTCTAAAGTTGGATATTTCGTAAATTAAGTTTTTGAATTTCATATTGCAAAATTAAAAGATGATAATAATAATAATAATAATAATAATAATAATAATAATAAGCAGCAATTATGTTAAATGGAAACTGACAAATTTTTTCTGATTGGTTCCTGTAAAACTGTTGGCACAGAAATGGCAAATAATTCAAATATCGAACATCTCTACTAGTTGACTTTTGAACATAAAATAATAATATATATGCAACTTTATTTTCACTGTATAAATATATTAATAATGTTAAATGTCTGTTAATGTTATGAATATCGAATTTTAAAGTACACTGCCTTGTGAAGTACCGACATCAAATATATATACACTTTTTAAATTTCCACATCACACGCTGAACTATATCAATAACATGGTATAATTAGGGGTTGCAAACTATGGGATAAAATTAATTTATGTAAGGTATGTTTTTCTAAAATTTAATATTTACTATATTGTTTCACCTGCATAAATATAAAAATAAAATAAAAGAACTAATTTATGGAAGCATTTATTACATAAGCTTTCAGAGATAGAAGGACAAGAAGCATCTTGAAAAGTTATTTAAATTCAAATAAATAATAATAAAATTGTCTCCGGATCGAATGACGTAAATAGTGAGAATTAAGATTTTAGTACTAGTTACTAGGGATGAAATGACCCCATCAGATTTCTATAAATTAAGATTAAGGAAGCGATATGGGTTGAGTTTTCTAGATCAAATCATATGGGTTGGACAATTAAAACGACCAGGTTTGAGTCGACTATAACACTCCCTTGTAATAAGAGGAGATATCTTGGGTGTTGAGGTGCACTCTCACAACTTAACTTCCATTATTTTTCAACAATATACTGCGAATCATCGAAATACTATTTTTTAATATGTGAGATAACGATTCGAAGAACCAAACTTTTAATTAATGATATATATCTTAATTAATTCATCGGATCGTAATTTTAGTTCTATTGTTCCCAAATGTTCAATTGTCTTGCAGTTTGGGTTTGTGAGAGCTTTGATGAGAGGACAGCGATCATCGCCGTCATTGGGCAAAATGTCCAGCTCTGTGCTAATTTCCCTCGATATTTCTGTTCATTGGGCTGCTATTGTTTGGGCCCATTTATGGCCCAGGCCCATATCTTAATAGGGACTACCTCTAACATTGTGGTGTTAGTCCATCATGCTTCTTCGAAAATAATTTTGTTTTTTTTAATAATTAAAATTAGTGTTTTCTTCCTTTTGAATGCAATAAAATTAGTGTTGAAAGTTGCCATTTAATAATTTTATTAAATTATCTATTCAATTTTAATTTCTTTTTCTCTAGCATATATCTCCCACTTTTTTTCTATCTAATATTTCTTTTTGTTTCAAAATTTTTTTCTTTTCTGTCTTTATTTTTTTCTCTAACAAATATATCAAGAAACTTTTTTTCTATTCAAATTTATTTTCTCACTATGATTTTTCTTTCCTTATATTTTGTTCTGTTATTTCTTTCTCGAATTTTTTTAACTTTTCTATCACTAAAATTTTATTTTTATTTTTCTCTCGTAAATTTATCTTTAAAAAGTTTTATTTTATCTATCTAAACTTTATTTTCATGCTGTACATTATAAATGACAAAAATTTATGTAGGATCGGATTACTTTTTTAAGAACATGGAGTACATTTCGCTCCATGTCCCAACCCCTAACCCAATTTTTATTTTTAAATAATTAATATATATTTTATTAATTATGTGACTAAATTAGGAATAAAATATTAAAATTAATTTATTATACTATTAAATACTAATTTTTATTGAAAGATGTTCATTTCCAAATGGGGATCCCTTGACATCGACCTTGGAGAATGATGTTAAAACGAGAATTAAAAATTTTCACGACGACGAGGATGTGGAAGACATGTAACTCTCGTCCCACCTTATTGTCATATCTATTGATCAACATTTTTTTTTTCTTTCTAGCATATTTCTTCAACTAATTACTGAGTCTTTAAAATATCGAAAACTAATATGGTTATCGAACATATTTGGTTTTATGTTTTCTAAATATGAAAGAAAATATAAAACAAAAAATAATTATGAAACATGTATGATTTTTGCTTTTTAAAAACAAAAAATTAAAAACCAAAAACAAAAAAAAATAGAAAAACCAAAAGCAAAAAACATAAATAACCATTATGAATTGGACCCTTTACTTTATAATTTGCAAATAAAACTTGTTAAAACAGTTCATATATATTTTCAAATTAATTAGAAGCATAAATAAATTTCCAAACAATTAAAAAAGAAAAAGAAGAATATTTCCTGCTAGCTAGGCCGCAACATATTTCCAGTCCACTGCTAATATTTTGATAGATGGGGAAAGAGAAACACAGAGAAGAGAATAGTTTTTATTTTCCTTCTTCGTTTCTTTTTTCTTTTTTTTTTTCTAATAGAAAAAACAAAAAGTTGTCAAAAGTTTTCAAGTGGAGGCAACATGAATTTTCCAATGTTTAATCTGGAAGGAAGTACTCTCTTTAAACGAACATCTTTTGGTCTCGGTCCAGACCCCTCGCCATTACCAAGGTTAAAAAACACGTCTGATCACTAATTTTTGTTGCAATAACGACTTAGTTTTTAAGCGAAAGTATTTATATTTTCAAATTGGTAATAATTTAGTCTTTAAACTTCTAGTATATAACAATTTAGTCTATATAATTCTAAAATCTTATAAAAATTTAGTGTCGATGATTCAGTTTTCGTAAATTCATAAACACACATTTGATCCAATCATCAATTTATCAAATCTACATATATACGAGAACAACCTCATTAAATATATGAACAAAAAAATTTTATAATAGGAATCGTTTACAAAACTTTAAACTACAAGGATTAACTTATCACAAACTAAAATTATACTAATTTAAAAGTATAAAGCTTAAATAGTTATAAACTAAGATTAAATTGTTACCCTTTTTTTTTTATAAAAAAGGTTGAAAGTATATATAGAACCATGGAAATATTCTTTAACCAAATAATAAATAAATGAGAGGTTTGACAATAATGGTGGTTCAAATTGGCCACCAAAAAGAGTGGCAAAGAAGAGAGAGAGAGATTTAAAAAAGTGTACACCAAGGCAAAGATTGTCTTGTAGTTGTAGCTGCAGCCGGCAGCAGCAGTTAGCTCCAAAAACCAAATCCAAATCTTACACAAAATTTTGTTGTTTCATCCCCTTCTCTTTCATGACAACCCTAACACTAAAATTCTCTATAAACCCACCTGTGATTCTCCTTTGCCTTACGTAGCATCCTTCTCCTTCATATAATTAAACTTTTTCCCAAAATAAACCATATGATAATATAAATATACGACATATTCCACCGATGGGTGGTGGTGCAGTGGACTTGTGGCTCAATGGAGATAGCCCCTTCCTGGACCAAGAGTCCAGTCGGGGTGCGTAGTCAGGTTTCCTCTCCCGATTTGGAGACGAGTCTCACAACGTCAATTACAATAGTGGGTTATCGTCGAAATTCTTATTATAAACTATGTTAAAAATCATTTTTCTTTTTAATAATATGAGATTCTTAACCTGCCTCTTAAGAATGATAAGATATAAATATATATACCCCACGAACTAATTCATCTCCTCAATCTCAAACCTTAAAAAAAAAGTAAATCAAACTAAATTATTATCTTTCCATTTTTTGCAAATTCCCATGTCTATGCCACATCATATAATTACACCAATAGTATCTCCTCTCTGCTAAAGTAAAGTAATCATTGCCCTTTTTTGGCTTACTCTCTCATGTGATCTCACCTTCACCCAGCTCAGTTAAAAAATAAAAAAAAAAGTTTTTGTCTTCTTCTTTGTGAGAGTAAAATGGTGAAGAAAAGACCCAACTTATGAGAGAAGGGGATGTTGTGGGGACTGTAACAATGGAGCCTGTGTCAGCCCTGTGTCCATTGCCCTGTCCTAGCTCAATTTATGTCTTTTGGCAACACTTAAAAGGGCTAGGGCAAGATACATGCATTTTGCTAGCTCCATCTCCATATTTCAATTCTACCCATCTCATCAATTTTAAGATTTTTCCATTTCTAATACAGTTCCAAAGCAGGCATTGTTTATATTCTCAACACTCCCCAAATGTGGGTTTGAAAATTAGAACAACATCCCGCCAATAGAGATTTGAATATAAAACTACGTGTTGATTGGGTGGAAACGACACAATAAGGGTTTAAATCCATAGAGCCTCCGAATGTGATACCGCACGTTAAATCAACTCAAAAGTTTAAATTGATAGGTAATTAAAGGGCCGTAATTCCAACCAGATCATCAAGATAATCATATGTAGCACATTTTGTGACAAGAATAGAAGATGGGTCGGTCAAGATGAAATTTTGATGGATAATGGATGAAAAAGAAGTCTTTTTTTTTTTTATCATAACTCGAAATCGATGTTGTGTGGCTTACACCAGAGGTTCTTTATATCCGTCGAATGGGAGAGGGAGGAAACTCTAGTTACGTGCCCACGGCGCTAGAACCAGGGAGATCAGAGGTATTCCCATTCGACTACAAGCCCACTACACCACCACTCGTTGGTGGTAATTAAGAAGTGATATTTTGTTTGAGTAACGAAACAATAGGAGAGGGAAGGGAATGAACATTAGTAGTGCAGATAGGGTTATGGGAAAGGCATATTTGGGGGTGGAATTGTAGCATTGTATACCAACTTTTAGGGGTTGTCTTTTGTGAATTAAGGGCTCTAAAGAAGTTAGTCACGTGAATATGGGTTCTATCAGAGGACTCAGAACTCTTCAGTACAATTCTTTTTACTGCCCTTTGTTTCTTTATAAGCCCTCCCCAATTCCCATCAACCCCTTTTTGTTTCCTTTCCTTCACACCCTATCGCCATATTGCCCACTTTTCTGGACACAAATATTCAATCAACCATTCTCCAATATCTCTCCTATGAATCCTCTCTATCCATTATCCACCTCCTTTATGGAGAAACATGAAGAAAAAGAAGATCCCAACCTTAAACTCTATATTTTCTCCTCCTCTCAAGCTGCTTCTGCTGCTGCTTCTTCTTCTTCACAGCTTCCTAATTTTGCCACTTGCTTCAATCAAACAGAGAAGAATCTTCACCATCTTCATCATCATCATGATCAGGCAATTCCCACGTCAATCATCTCATCATCTTTTTGAATTTGATCATAAATTATTTATCCTACCCTTTTAACACTTTTTGCTTCTCTTCTCTTATGTTTTCACCTGTCAATTGACCAATTTATTCTCCACTCGACGACACCATGTTAAATCAACGGTTGAATCCAAGAGACGTTACGATAAATTTAATCTTTTTATGATATGATCTTTTGGTGTGTATGAACAGGTGGAGAAATCGAATGGCGGGTTGTTATCAAGAGTGGAGGAAGAAGTAGAGGATCAAATTGGGAAAACTGCAAAGTACTGGATGTCTTCAAAGATGAGAGTGATGCAGAAGATGATGACAAACCCAGACAAAAAAAGTGGTGCAATTGTAAATTCAGATCACAAGCCAGGGTACAGCAGCAGTACTACAAGAAATTATAACATCAATGACACAGAGAATAAAAACAATGGTGGAAAATGGGGAATTTTGGGGAGGTCATCCAATTGCTCAAATGGGCATAATGGAGTTAGGGTTTGCAGTGATTGTAACACCACCACAACTCCTCTGTGGCGAAGTGGTCCTCAAGGCCCTAAGGTCATCTCCTCTTCTCTGACAACTTTCTTCTCTGCTACTGTTTTCTTGCATCAAATAAAATAAAAAAAACACCCATTTTTGTCTATGTTTACAACAAGTTGACCCATTTCTTTGTTTTCTTTTGGGATAAAAATTCAGAATTTGCCCTGCAAAAGTTTGTCTTTTTTCAGTAATGGTAAGATCTAGAGAGTTCAATTACAACTTTCAAGACTGTGTCTATTATTCTTAGAGGTGAATAAACCACACTCATCTCAAAAGTTTAAATAACAATATAAGGGTTCAAACATATTAAAATCCTGTTCAATATCTCCAACATCTGTTTTGATCAGGAGTGTATCGTAAATAACTTGTTTAGTGGGTGAGTATGATCTATAAACCTTTAAGATAACAATCTTTATGTCACTGGTTAACTTTGAGGGGAGGAAAGAAAATAGGGAGAATAATAAATAGGATTTTTATTTGAATTGTGATTTATAGTACTCGTAAGGTCTAGACAGTTGAATTATGACTTTCGGGTGGTGTCTATTTAGTCAATAAGAATGATTGTTTTGCTTTGTGGGTTAATTATGCAGTCGCTATGCAATGCGTGTGGGATCAGGCAGAGGAAAGCAAGGCGAGCGATGGCAGAAGTAGCGAGTGGCGGTGGCGGGGAGTCGGAGGCAGCATCGGGGAAGCAGCTGCACAAGGAGAAGAAATGTCGGACGAGCTGCCATGGCGACAGCGCGGGCATTGTGAAGAATAAGATTATGGGAAGTGATCATCAAAACTCTTCGGTTTCTTTTGATCATCATAGTTTCACTCTGCGATTGAGAAAAAGTAGTGGCTCTCCGGCTTTTGGAAGAGTTTTTGCAAGAGATGAGGAGGAAGCAGCCATTCTTTTGATGGAGCTTTCTTGTGGTTTTCTCCACACCTGTTGAGAATCTCAATCTCGTTTTTTTTCTTCTTTTTCTTGCTGAGAGTTTTCTAGTGTGCGTGGTCGAAGATTTTGCAGCTGCTTTTGTGATCGAATCTTTTTCCAATGATAATAAAGTCAACAAAAATTTACTAATGGTGGATTACAACTATATATATTTTAACTAATTAATTTAGTTGAGAATATTATAAATATAAAAGGGAAGATTCTAATTTAATTTGAAAGGTTTTACTTAACTAACTATTTTATAAGGCGTTGAACATTTAATTATGAGATAATTTAAACCAATCCGGTGTAAATTAATTAGCATGTTAAGACACATGTTTCTAACCATTAAGTTAAGAACTTGAATTTCCATCCTTATATGTTGTACTAGAATAATAAAAAAATTAGCATGTTTTCCTGTGTATAGGTTCAAGATACCTTGAATATATAATTTACGATCGAGATGTATACTTTAATTGATTCAACTATGCCAAAGTGAAATAGTTTGACCCTAATTGATATATATATATCAAATCAAGAGAATGTAGGTTCGATTTCCCACCCAAACATATTGTATTAAAAAAAAATTGGTTCAACTTTGCTTTGAGTTTTTATTTTATTTATTTTTTTATTTTGCAATGGAACTATGCTTTTAAGTCAACTTACTTGATGCCTCAAAGGGAAAAAAAAAATAACTTACTTGTTTAAGATGATAATAAAATAGGTTAAAGTTGAAGAGAAAAGATAATATAAAATTTACAAAAATGCAGACATAAAAGTTTTAATTTAAATATAAATATATAAAGCTGAAAATCATTGGCCCGCGGTTACATCCATAGCATCGTCTTTTTGGTTTCCGAAGGCCCCGTTCGGCGTTCGCTCTGCATTCCCCTTTTTGGTATATATATTTGAATGAATGGTTGAATGTAGAAGTTGTCTTTTAGATGTTTACGTTGTTCCTGCGTTCAACGCATGCTCGGCGATGGGTAAACTATGGATTTTCCGGCGGTTGGCAAACCTGGGGGCTGCGGATCGCGGGAACCAGCTGCAGAATGGTCGCATCTTCTTCGCATTTTGAGGTATGCCTCGTCCTCCTCGCCATCTCTCGTCATTGCATGCCTACAGTTCTTGAATCGGATTCAATACCAGGCGGATTCGATCGTCTTTCTTTCGGGGCACTGAAATCCAGTGCATCGAAATAATCTAACCAATGTTGAAACCTCCCGTTGAACTGGGTTCGGAAAGTTATTGGGGCATGGTGCTGCGATGGATACGGAGGTTGTCGTGCAATTCGTGGGTCAACCAAGCGTAACCGATCATGCCTGTTGATTCTTCAGGGTGGTCTTCTCTGCGTACGTAATTAAGAAGAAGGAAGCGGCGAATTAGGACGGACGAGGGCCGAGGCAACCGGCACTGCTTGTTTTGCATTTGTTCTGTACATTTAAGCCCCATTCAGATCATGAGCTGTTTCGATTTATAATACACGGGTAATGGAAGGATCTCTCACTTTGTGACAGTATAATTCCATTAAAATTGCGTCTGATGGTGAAATGTAAAATTTTAAAGGATGCTGGTCATGTGGGCATACTTTTTAGAGAGTCTCCCTTTTGGTCATGCTCGAGGTTATTATTAGGTGATTTAATAATTCGTTTTTTCTTATTATCAGGCACTTTCATTCCGTTCCTTTTTGAATTACAACTTGCAGGAGATGTTTAGATCCGCTGGGTTTGACCCTTTCCCTTTGCTGTTGCTTAGATAATTTCTTTTGAAGTACATCAACTTTCTATTTGGTTCATTCAATTCCCTTGATATTGGAATTGGGTATACCATTGGATTCTTTTTTATGCTTGTCCTACCTCTGTTATTTCTTTAGAGAATTCTAACCATAAACGAATAATTAGAGAAGATTTAACCGTGTACTTCACATGTTTTCTAATTCAGAATACAGATGATACTTCGATAGGGATCTAGAAAGCAAAAAAGCATGTACACTCAATTAGGAGATTAGATTTCTTATAATCAGATTATATAGTTTCTTTTTGTCCATTTCAGTAGAGCTGTATGTATTATCTTCTGTATCATTTCGTTAATTAAAATTGTACATGTGTTATGACTGTTTATGAGTATTGTAACTTAGGATTTTCTCATTATTTGTTTCTTATTGATATTGACTTTTCATGGAAGGTCCCCTTTGAACCGCTCAGCCGATGCCTTGAAATTGTGCAGGCAAGAGGGGACCATCACCACAATTTGTGTATTGTATCAGTGTCAGCACATTGGACCATATCTGCCAGTGCTGCTACGTTTAAATGAAAAATTTCCTCGGAATTCCTTTCAAGGGGGAACATCAATATGAGAATTAGAGGAAGACAATCGTACTTTGTATATCTTTGATGGTGCAAATTGTTGTGCCTTTAGACATTTTGAATACTTGGATATGAGGTTATACCCTCTTATCTTATCCCGTTTGTGGGATAAATTCTGGTCTATACTTCCTTCTTGTTGCTTCTCTCTCGAGAAGCCACTTAGTACCATCTTGACTTCTACTTAGAGCCTTGTGATAATTTTGCTGACATTTGACATTTAAATAACAGATAGTGAAGATGGGGTCTGACTTCTGAAGGTCTCGGAGAGAGACGTTAAAGATTGTAACTCTTAATGTAAAGTGCATGGCTATGTTTAGAGGTTCACAAACTTCATCTTCTTTGCAATTTCTCTTCCTTGTCCTTCCCTGTCATGCTTCATTCATATATGGCCTCTAAGTTTGGAGGGACATTACTTGTACCAGTTCCTCGAAGAGTTTTTCCCTTTAGTGGAAGAGAAACATGAATTTCATACTTGTGGTTTTGGTGAGATAATAAAATGTACGGAGCATTCCTTTCTCGGACATTTTGAGCTACTATTACTTAGTACAGGTCATAGCCTTTTTCCCTGTACTTTATTTTTAAAATATCTTCCATGAAATGCTTGAATGATATAACTCTTCCATCATTCCATGATTTTAATTGGACCATAGGTTTCATGTACCAACTATGTCATGGCCATTTACAGGCACCCTCCTAGTTTGTACCCATTGGAAAGTGTAACCAAGGAGTCATCCATTGGAAGTGGAACAACTCTCTTTCTGTGCAATTTACTATCATTGCTTATTGTTTCAAGTAAGTTCGACATCCTTAACAGTATTTACTTGGACAGGTTCAGGGACGCTTGTTTCCAGAGAGGATATCTATTGCTTCGATTCAGAAAGGAGACGGGGACAGATCCACTTCTACATCCTGAAAGTTAGATTACTTGTATCTGTGGGGATTATCCTGATGACTAAAGTTATAGGCTGTGCCTTTTCTACCAGTCTTTTTCCTGTGACTAAAGTAGAAAATAGAGCTCAAAACCCTTTGTTGCGGTGCATATCATATATTCTGTGATAGTGATTTTGATCTATGAACTTATCCAATTATCATCTCCTAAACTAACTCCAATTGCAGGGTGCTGGAAACTGGGAAGAAACCATATTCTGGGCCTGGTGAATCAGCAGCTTCTCCAGCTCCGTGGTCATGAACTCCCAAAGTTTTGGTTGGTTGGCTGCTTTGCATCCGGTGCCTTTTCTTTCAATATATAAACTGTTAGAATTAGAAAGATGGGCTCTCCGTTCACATTGTGATGTCTTGCATTCAGATTCAGACATGCCTATATTCTTAGTGTCATGTTGGCTTAGGACAAATTATACTACACGAAATCAGGAATGGTTGGCCATGCTTGAAAATTGAAATTTGGTTCACCTACTTTTACTGACAATTTAACCTCATCTGCTCATACTTCCTAGGCTCAACATGAGCAGGCTACTGCTATCTTATACAATGTCAACGACTTTATCACCATTCTACATAAGATTGATGTTTCGCATCTTAAATTCTTTTTAGTGTTAGGGGATGAAGGTTTCAACCTTCAACTTTTAAGAGAGGTTAATATCTTTGATTAGTTAGGTTATGTTAAGATTAGCATGTAAATCTTTTGTAATTCTATATTAATATGGAAATCTGTAGGTGACTTTCTTTACAATAATTAATTGAAATTTGGCTGGGAGGTAACTAGTGGGGGTTGATTTATTTAGACATGTTGTTACCTATTTTTATCATCTTTTAGAAGTTTACCTGTATTTCTTTAGTAGTATTTTTGTGGTCGCGGCAACTCCAAAATGGTAAGCTTATCTGTTAAACTCTTTTCCCCTTTTTTTTTCTTTTTTTTTTTTTTTTTCCTATGGAGGATATATGTCTAAGTTGAGTATTTGGTAAACTTATTTGGGTCTTCAACTTTTATCATTTTGATTCAAATATATATTTTTTCAAACTCTTTATTTTTAAATATTTTTATTTAGCATCTAACTTATTTGTTTTATTCTACTTAACAAAAAAATTGAGTCCTAACACTTCAGATCTTGTCTTCGTTCAAATGAACCTTTTTCTTCCTCTTTTAATGTAAAGTTTAAAGAAAAATAAAATACACAACTTGAAAATTTGAAGATATGATTAAAACTGAAATAATAATTAAAAATATAACCGTCCTACAAAAAGTATACGTTATCTGTTTGTAAGCGAGAAAAAGGGTTATCTTAAAGTTGAGAAAATAAAGTATAAAGCAAGGGTCCGAGGTTTGGGAAATTTCAGCATTGGAAATTGACACGTAAGAAATGAGCTGGCAAATCCCTTCTACTGCCAGCTTGGCGCTTGTGTTTTGTTCTTGCAGTGACCTCAAACAAACGTGGCTTCATCAGCATTAATCAAATTAAACAACAAATTGTAAGTGCTTACCACATTATCAAAATTAAAAAAAAAAGTGTGACAATTAAAATAACACATGCCATTTATTAATATAATATGGGCTTAGTCAAATCGAGGCAAATTTTGAATTTCAAGTTTAAAAATCTCCTTTTTATTTCCTCTGGGGGCAAATATCTAGAGGAGTGGTATTGTATGGTGTAACCTGAGATGATGGTAGCTGTCCCGATCGGTAACTTTGTTAGATTCCGACGAAATAAATAACTATCAAAAGAAATGAAATTGAGCGTTTAGCTTGAATTCTCTGCATCTTCGGTATCGGTGGAACGGTTGAGAGGAAGGTGAAAGTGAAGATGGAGGGACCCAGTTGATGAATCTTATCCTTCCA